TAGAGCCTAGTATGTAGATCATGCTTCAAGATACATGGAAAATGGAATTTTCAAGAAAATTTGATGCCTTATGGACTAGCCCTTACATTAAGGTGGATGTCTCCACTAACAATTCTATACAATTGAAGACCTTAGATGGCTCGTTATTTCCTACACAAACAACGAGAGAATGTTGTAAGGAATACAAAATGTGACCATAGGTACAAAATTCTTTTGTGGATTATATTTTACTAACGTCAAATAGTATATTGGAGAGCAAAATGGAAGCTATAAAGGTCAACATTAATCAACCCTCAAGGATGGTTGATTGAGGATTTAATAGCAACCACAAAACTAGAATACTAGCTAAGCACCTCTCTTTATAATATTCTTGTTATATTTCAAATTTTTCTTCTTCTTTTATTCTTCTCTTTTTCTTCATGTTTCTAAGAGATGATGTTAATATTATGAAGTTAAATATGATAGTATGATTTATATGATATTCACACATTTATTAAAAATATTATATATATATATATATATATATAAATATATATATATAGATATTCTTCCATATTTTAGGCCCAAGACATAGTGTGGAGGATAGTGAGTGAATAATTTTCATATTTTGCTCTCACTATTCAATCTTACATCACTTCCTTAACTTTTATTAGATGGTTTTAGATAAATTAGGTCCAAATCACTAAGAGAAGGGCATTGCTTTCCATTCAATACTTAACATTTTTTTTTCTATTATTCTTCTTTTGTTTTAACTTCATTTTTTTTAATCCAAATCCACTTTGATGGAGGAGGAAGGTTGGTTGAAGCAATTTATTATCTATAGGTTAAAATTTTCTCTAATAAAGGAAGACATGGTTATTTTTATTTTTTTTACTTCTCAACTTCTAATTGTTTTTTTATAGTACTCCAAATCAACATCATTTGACGAAGAAGGATGGATTCCAATATTTTTAAATTATAATATCACCAAATTCATATTAAAGAAGATAGAATTTGATATTAGAGTTTTATATTATGACTTTATTTTTTTTTAAGAACCTTATTCTTAAGCATTTATATTGATTATATGTCCTTAAATAAGATACTAGCTTCATTAGCAAGAGACTCATAGATTTATTTTATTTGCATAGCAAATATCCTACAGATGGTGTATCACATCTAAGTTCTCAATTATACTTCAAAATTTCATTTTTTAAATTTTTCTTATTTTATGATAATTGAGCATGTTAAATTAGGATTTATATAAGTAGAATTTGCTTTTATTAAATTTTTAGGATTGTAAACTTTGATGGTAGAAATCCTAACTTGATTCCTTGAGTTAAGTTAATTAAGATCAAAATGATAAGGATTAGAAAATTAAAATAGTAATTTGATTAATTTTAATAATTTAGAGGTTGTTAGTCATTACTATAAGGGTTGACTATGAACATGTGCATTCACCTACAATCATTTCATATGATTTAGAGTGAATTAAAATTAGAAATTTCTAAAAGATTTAGTGAAATTTAGTAATGATGGTTTTTAAGCTTCTTCTTCAACTTCAATAAATCCAAGCAACAAAGTAGTTTTTTTCAATTAATGGACACTTTCAAATGTGATGGCAGCATTGGATTCACCTCATGGGGTGAAGAAAAAAACATCAGCACCTTCTCCTCCAACATACAAGTGGAGCACTAAAATTTTTATTTTTGAAGGATTTTACAATAATTGCTAAAATCTCTAGAGGTAAAAACTTTCATAAAAATTATAAATAAACATAGTTAATGGCATGTAAGTAGTCAATCTTAGCATCAAAAGGTGTTTTGAACACAATGGTGAAGTTAGATTTACCAAAAATTAATTTTTTTTTACTTATAATAGCCATCAAACTTGGTAACAAAATTAGCTTTTGGATGAATGAAGGCCATGGATCTAGATTAGGGATCTTAAAAATCAAGGGTGGAAATGCAGCCACCCTTCCACAAGCCTCCACTCAATTGTGTAAAAGAGGCTTCGTTTTCCAAGCCCTCTCTCTCTCTCTCTCTCCTCTTTTGGTGAAGGACGAAGCCATGCCAAAATTTGGCCAAAAATCCTAATCTTAATTTCATTTAGATTGTTAAATCTCATTATGAACTTATGGATGGGTGTGCATGGATTTTTAGTTGTGAATGATAATTATTGAGTTTTAAAACATGCTTCATTGTGGTAGATAGCTCTCTTGGCCTCCCAAGTACTCCAAGGGATTCAAGAGCCTCGGATTTCTCCCGATCAATCAGTCATTTTTTTTTGTTTCAATGTAAAATTCCTTGTGGTTATAGCTTTTGTTATTAATTCACAATAAGAATAAAAACTTAAAACTTAAAACTTAAAACTTAAAGTTAAATTTAAAATTTAAAGTTAAAAATTAAAATTAAAGTTAAAAATTAAAATTAAAGTTAAAAATTAAAAATTAAAGTGAAAATATTAAAGGTTAAAAATTTAAAGTTAAAATTTATTAGTCAAAAGTCAAAATGTGGAGATTACTAGTCAATGTAAAGATGAAAATAAAAATAAAATAAGACGGGTAAAAGCGAAGGTACCTTGACAATGTTCAAGGATTTAACTTTAAATTAAATTTTAACTTAAACTTAAGTTTTTATTCTTATTGTGAATTAATAGTAATAACTTAATTAATTATCTTTTTTATTATTTTTATATAGTGAATTTTATTTAATATTTTAATTTAATATTATTAACCATTACTTGAAACGCATTAATTTTAATTGAACTATAAACATCCACATTTAAATTAATTTAATAGTTTTAAAATTGGAGTTCTTTCATTCTACATCTCGAACTTGTTGTATAGTACTAATTTCATAGAGTGGTGGATTTTAGACTTATAGATGCATAAACATGGAAAATCTATGTTAAAAGAAAAGTGAAAAAATAATAATAAAGTAGTATGTATATTAAAAAAAACTAAAATAGCTATTGCCAAAAGACAAAGAAATTAGAGACTTTTAAATCTAAACTAAAAGCAAGAAAAAAGTTGACAAGAGTGAAAGGGCTTTGCTCTTACCTCCATATATACTATCTAACTAGGAGCTATGTGGTGATGTTCTATAAGACCTCTAATATGTGTTGACTTTATAGAACATATGCCTTAGCTTACAAAGTAAGTTTTCTATGTGTGGACCACATAGTTAGCTTGTTCTTCAAGCTACCAACATGTGTGGCACATAGCCAACTTGTTGACTACGTTTCTAACTTAAAAAATCAATTATAGACAGTTATAAAGTCAAAGTAGTATTTATGAAGCTTTTAGAAAGCTTCTATAGAAGATATTATGGAATTAATCTATTTTTACCACCTTTAATCTAATTATATAGGTAATTATTGGTTTACATGTGTATGTCCATGATATATATATGGAGACAAGAGTAAAGCCTTCTTCATTCTTATCAATGCATTTCTAGTCCTTAGTCTTGTTTTAAGATTTTTTAGTCATCTTGTCTTTGGCAATAGCCATTCTAATTTAATAATATATCATCTTTGAGTGACTTTAAAATTCTTTTGAGTAACACAAGGGTGTATTGAGGATTTCTTTCTTCAAGCTTCATATCCTTGATACTTCAATACCTCAAATTGCAATTTGAAATATATTGAAATTTGGCACTCTCACACAGCTTGCTTCTTTCAAAGAAATAATAGTTAGAATTTTTCAACTTTAAATGCCTAATTGTAATTTGGAATGTGTCATAATTTGGTATTTCTACATATCAAATTATACTTCAAAATGCATTGTAATTTGGCACCTCCATATACCTAATTGCACTCCAAAATGTATTGCAATTTGGTACCTCTATATACCTTACAACTCTTAGAGTGATATAACACAAAACTAAAAAGCCAAATTCAATTATAAAGTTGAATGTGAAAAAGTACACTATTTTATTTTCAACTATAATTTTTTGGATTTTTGCCATATTATCTATACAAATCCAAAGATTACAACGACACTTTCCAACCATAGGAAGAGCAAAAATTAATCAACCATTGATGCATAACCAACCATCTCATATGTACAATTCCATTAATGCATAATTAAATTTTAATAGTTCATGCATATCAATTCCAAGTACAATTAATTTTATATGTTGCTCATTACTAATCATTATTTTAACCAACACCTAACCTATTTCCAACCATAGGATATCAAAAATAGTTATAAATAGGACGTTGGACTTATAAAAATATTCCACAATATAGATAAAAAAAAATGGAAGGGTGGTCGAGAACAGATTGGCTACCTTATGCATGTTTTTATCTTTTGACTCTTCTTTATGCTTTATTATCTCTCGCTAACACTTTGTCTTAGCTTTCTCACACCTTAGCCCTCTACTTCATCTTAGCCTTCCTTCAATTGTTACCAAGGCCCCTTGACTCTACTCTCCTTCGTCTTGAATTTGTTAAAGTGTATAAAATTTGTTACAGTTGCCCAATATCCATTCATGAAATGAAATGAAAAAAAAACCCCCATGGTATGAGCTGGGTATATATTCCTTTGCAACCCAATTCTGATACTTAAAAAATATATGATTAAAACATCAAATAATGAACAGAAATGAGAGATAAAGTAAGCTTACAAAGTAGTTTGCACACAAGATTCCACGTGGTGCTACTCCCGCCATATACAAAGCCCAGCTGGCACTAGAACTCGTGCCATGGCTTGGAAGCCTAGCAGAGCTGGAACTTGGCATCCAAGACCCTCCATCCAAGACCCTCCATCCAAGACCCTCCATCCAAGACCCCCTAGATTGTGAACCTGCAGCGCGGCCACAGAGACAGTTGATCGCAGTGCAAGACCCGCAACGGAACCCAACAATCGGAATGAAATGCACCGTAACATGAGGCACAGCATCGATGAGTCTGACGGCACGAAGGATTTCTGTAAACACTGCAGTTTAATTCAGATTGAAAAGGGCTTTTTACTGTGGACTGGCAAGAGATCTGTGGGCAAATGAAGTGGGGAAGAAGAAAATGCAAGGTTCATGCGTCGCGTCCCATGGCAGCGTTTTGTGGAGTCCCAGCTACAATCCAAGTGCGTGAGGGCTTGGTGTGACACAAGTGCGATGAGAGCCCCACGCCATGGCTTCTTTCTTTCCAATAAACCGTTTTTTTCTTTTTACAGAGGCGATGCTACAAAATAGGGTCTGTTATCCAGCGTGGTGGTGGAGGAGAGGGAGCTGGATGGCTTTGTCAGATCATTGGCCAGCAGCGTGCCTTTGGATGGATTCATGCCGAGTGGAAAGGTGATCCTCGCTCTCTCTCTTCTTTTGAGAGATGCAAACAGGGAGAACAGCATTGCTGAGGTAGAGGTGAACCTTCAGCCGTTGGTCCTTTCGGAGGCCATTATCTTTTGCTCGTGAGCATTAGGTCATCTCTTGCGGTTGCTGTGTAGCGTTGTGATGATCGTGGACGTTGCAACAAGGATGGTGTTTGCATTGTGACGTGTGAAGCTCACGGGGGAAGGCGACAGCCTTTAATTTGGAGGGGATTGCGTGGAATAGTGCAAGTTCATTCAATTGTCCAGTGTAGTAGAGCTGGGAAGGGCGTTAGGATGAGCGTCTCATGTAACAGCCGACAATTTATCAGCGCTCCTGTTTCTTCGCCGAAAATTGAGCGCTGTTTATTGTTGAGGCGAGCTTGCAACAGACCTGCGAAATGTCATACCCTCTGCGGTTCGCAGATAACGCTGTCGAGGCGATGGCTGGGGGGTGATGGGATTATGCGGTTCAGGCGACCCAATTTGTACTCGTCTCGAATTTCATGGGAGGCACGTCGCCAGCGGCAGAGGAACCTTGTTTTGAAAAGTTCTTTGGACTCCGACTCTTCGACTGAGGGTGCCGAGTCTGGTGACCTAGGCAAGCCTGCTAGCTCGATTAAACCCACTCAATCCACATTCGGTCATGATATTGTGTCGTCCACCTCCTCTGAATCAGAACTGGATGGCTGCATTGCGGAATTCTTGCCACCTTCGGAACAGCAGGTTCTTCTTCTCGATAGCCTTAAATTTCGTAAATGTCACTTGACTTCTTTGCGTATTGGCAGGTCAACATTGCAGCTTAGAGATGTAAACACTATTCTCAGTCCAACATAAGAAAAGTGAAATCACATCAAATTCAGCTCAGCTAGTGACGATACCTTGTAGCAGGGACTTTCAGACATTTTTCCATATTGGGGTGGTTTGAAAGAGACCCTTATCATTATAACAACCAGTTTAAAAAATTATCTGATTCATGAAGTTTGTGCGCAGACTTAAATCTGTGACTTTTACGGAGTGGGTTTTTTATATTATTCAGAAACAACGTATCTAACCTTTAAATTTCGAACTTAGAAAATTCTACAATCCAGGTGGTAGGAGAAATGTGCATAGATATAGATTGCGCTGTCGTCTGTCCATGTCGCGGTGAGCATAGTTGAGTTGTATGGTACTGACCACCGCGCGCAGGAGTGTGCGTCTGTTTCACTGTGAACTGCAATATAACTTACTGTTTCATTGAAGTGTAGAGGATTGTAATATCTCATCTTAGCTTCAAACTTTGATAAGATAGACCTCGCTTGCTTATGCACTGTCGGATGCCGTTGTTTTGCAGAGGCGAGACTCAGATTTATCTACTGTTCTTCGAAGATTCTGGAAGGTGGCAGCCCCCTACTGGAGCTCAGAAGACAAAGTGAAGGCACGTCTTTGGTTGGCTGGAGTCTTCGCACTTACTTTAGCTACCACAGGCATTAGTGTGGGCTTCAACTTTCTCGGGCGAGATTTGTACAATGCCCTCGGGAGTAAGTGTGCCGACTTGGCCTTAATCCATATCTCCAGATTGGACTTCGATATGTTGCTTTTGGATGTAGATTTTCTAAGGAGAACATAGTAAAGCTTTTCAGAGAACGTGAAAATAAGTTCGATGACCTTGAGCTACGATTGAACAAGATTTGTAAGTTATTTTCTGCAGGCAAGGATCAGGAGCAATTTTACAACATTCTCGTCAAATATTTTGTAGCGTTCATCGGAGGAATACCAGTAAGCCCCTCATTTTATATGATTAAGAAACTTGTTGGGAGCTTAAACCCTTGTTTATCCGAGAATATTTAACGTATTAGCTTCAGTGCTTGAGTTTTGACTGTTTAGAAGATGGTTCAATCTAGCCAAGGATTGATGTGCATTAAATTTGATTACGGAAGACCTAATGGTGATATGATGCTGCTTGAGTTCTCAACTTCAAAGGTGATGATTCTGAGCCAGTGAGTGTATCTGAAAAGGTTGATTTGACCTGGTAGGTTTTTGTTCTGCGAGATTATTACAGAGACACACTAGCTCTCAGATGGCGTGGGTGGATGACAACGCGTTACCTGGACAAATATTTTGAAAATCAAACTTTTTACAAAATCCAGTCTCAGTCAATTATTGATAATCCCGACCAACGTATTGTTGATGACTTGAATAGTTTTTCCGGAAGCGCTCTGGGGTTTGCTCTCTCTTTGTTCAACGCGATTGTCAACCTACTATCCTTCAGCGGAATCCTCTATGGCATATATGCACCATTGTTTTATGTTCTCCTTGTTTATTCAATTGGAGGGACTGCCCTAAGCGTGGCACTGGGTAAGGTGAGCACTTCTGCCCCTATGATGATCCTTAAACATCTGTATGTGCGCGCTCTCTCTCTCGCTCTCTCGCTCGCGCGCTCGCTCGCTCTCGTTTTTGTTGTTCTTTGCCTCTCCGCCAACCCCCCTCCCCCTCAAAAAAGAAAAATTCCTTGAAGGTGGCCCGTCGAAGTAGTTTCACTGCGTGATTGCACTTCACATTTTTCATCGCATCACATGGTGTAAATATACTGATAATTACAAGCAAGTGTTTTGCAGAACTTGGTGGGTCTTAATTTTATGCAAGAAAAGAAGGAAGCCGATTTTCGGTATGGATTAGTTCGCGTACGTGAAAATGCAGAATCGATTGCTTTCTACGGGGGGGAGTCGAGCGAGATGCAACTCCTCGTCCAGCGATTCAAGCAGTCCTTCGACAATTACACCGTAAGCTTTCTCTTAGGTATCCAGATCGTGGGTGGCCTCAAGTTGTTCTGATACATCTCTGAAGAACATCGGTAGAACTTTAAGAATACCCCGAAGTGCATTTTTCCGTGTCTGATTTATGTGTTTTTTAGCCTGACTGCGGAATCTATGTTTCAGATCTAATAATTCAATTCACCGCAGTTTTCTCATTTGATCTACTTGTTTGTCGGAAGCATTTAAGTTCGAAGTGTGAAGGTTGTTATATTACCAAAATAGGCTCGCAAATGGTTGAAGACATTGCTTTCATTTTGCTTACATGTCTTGTGTATTCTCGTGGCAGCAACTACTGATAGCATCGAGGAACTTGGACTTTTTTACGAACTTCTATCGCTATCTCATCCGGCTCTTGCCGGCATCCGTAGTAGCACCTTTGTACTTTGCAGGCCAGATAGAATTCGGTGTCATCAATCAATCTGTTTCGGCATTCAACAATGTTTTGAGCGACTTCTCCATTATCGTTTATCAATTTCAATCCCTTAGTGCTTTTTCTGCAGTAATCGATCGGCTGAGTAAGTTTTCGAGACGCGATCTTTTACTTCTGTATTGTGGGGTTCCCTTATGGTTTACACCACATATATCCTTGCGCATTTTTTTTATTAGCTTGATATGTTAGTCCCCTAACTCTTGGTAATACAAATTTTGCAGGTGAATTTACTGACATTTTGGAAGAGCAGAACTCTCTATCACAAGCCACATTTCAAAATACAGAGACCTCAATTGATCAACCTGAATCTTCAGAGCCACTAACAAGTTCGACTTCACTGTCAACAGCAAGGTCGCGTATAAATTTAGTTGACGTCCAAGAGTCGCCAAGCACATCTCATCCTCTCCTCGTACTTGAGAATGTTACATTGTATACACCTCAGTATTCCATGTCACTGTTTAAGGACCTTTGCTTGGTAGTAAACGAAGGAGAGAATTTGCTGGCAAGCATCGTTATTCCTTCTCTTTTATAACTTCGAGCAAGAAATGGTGGTCGATTGTGATTTGATAGTCAAGTGTTCCATGGTTTACTTTTTAGGCTAGAAGATGTGCATCGTAAATGTTCGGTTACCGAAAGGTTGCGTGATATGGTTATTCAAGGAGGCAGAGTAATGATGGCTGCAGGAAAAATTGAACAACTTATATCTTTTTATCGATCTCCTGTACGGCAGATCATGGGCGCAAGTGGGAGTGGAAAAACATCCTTGTTAAGGGCCATTGCGGGGCTGTGGAGATCAGGTTCCGGCACAATCAAGCGATATGTGAAACATCGTGTGGGGGGAGCAGAACAGGATGGTGTAAGTGATAATAATCAGTCGCAGAGTGACAAAGGTTTAAGCCCAGACAAGGAATGGATCGCTGAGGTAACACGATTGCATTAACCAGTCCCGATGAATTTTCTAATGATACATCTTAAATTGCATTAGGTGAGTTGAAGTCATGATTGATTTGACGTGCCGGGTTATTATCTTCCACGTGAGTTCCAAGTTCTGAACCACTTCCTACAACCAAGAAAAGTTGTTCCTAAGTAAACCGAAAGGGTTTTGGTCTCTAACAATCCTATTCTAATACGTTCGTTTTTTAATATTTGCGAGGCTGAAGCTAGTGTTACATTCTTCATGTGCGTTATTTTGGAATGAAAGATAACCCGCTAAGATCTCTACTTTTAAAATTACAACTTACAGTGGAATGGTAATTTTATTGATTTGGTGTGAGTTCAGAATGGAGGACTCCAAGTTGAGACTAATGGTGCCTCAGTGCAAAATGCCAAAAGTATGGGCAGCGGTGAGGTGTTTTTTTTGCCACAACGACCATACATGGTACTTGGCACACTGCGTCAGCAGCTGCTGTATCCTAGGTGGAGTGAAGTTGAAATGAGCGGGGATACTACTAATGGTGAACTTCATCCCTCGCCTGATGCAGCACATTGATCAGCATCTTTCGATAGATGTACCACCTAGAACTGTACTAGTTAATGCGCAGTCATGATACAACTGTGATGGGGCTACATCATCGTCTGATTGATAGACATAGTGAAGGGCGGTGATTTATTAAGACTTGAGACCCTCAATGATTTGCTTGCCAACGTCTGTTTTGCACAGGTTCTTTGCCATTTCTTCCTAAACAAGACAACACCAAGCCGAAAGTAATGCGGGGCCTACCCCCAAATGATGATCAGCTCGTTGAGGCGTTAGAGCGTGTTCAATTAGGTCACTTGATGGATCGATGTGATGGTTTGGATTCTTCTGTGGAATGGGCCAGTGTTTTGTCCCTCGGAGAGCAACAACGCCTTGCATTTGCACGCCTTCTTTTGTCTCGACCTCAATTAGCTCTCATGGACGAGTCAACCAGTGCGTTGGATGAGAAAAATGAGGTACAATCCCCCATTTCAACAGTCAAAATATCTCGTGAGTGAAACAGCAACCGTTCTGGCATCCGAAAGGAGAGTTTGATGAGGTTGTGGATTTGGATTCATTAGTCAGTGATTTAACACCGCTGACCGTCAATGTGTGCAACTGGGCGATCTGCAGGTAAGCCTGTACGCGGCCGTGCAGGAAGCTGGCATAACAGTCGTCAGCGTAGGACATCGCAATACCCTCCGACGTTTCCACAAGATCATTTTACAGTTTGAAGAGTCCAGTGGAAGCAGTGGCCGGGAGTGGACAATTTCAAGGATTGCAAATGCCGACCCTGCACCTGGAAGAGTAGGTTGATAGGCATCAGATGTATCAAAATCTTCACTTTTAGGGCATAGTTCTCCCCTTCCTCTTCCACAACAATGTTGCAGGAGTTGCAGGTGCGTTGTGGATGTTTTCTTCAGGTCTGTGAACCCACCACTTCAGCGATGCCCTGCAGGAGTTGTAGCTTGTTTATCACTCTTGTACCAAGATCTGTAATAGTATACCCATTCTTGCTAGCTGAAGACGCTGTTTCTGTTGTCCGCTCAGAAATGTAGAGTGCCTCTTAAGAGCTCCCGATTATGGTGTCAGACCTGAGTGTGAAATCACTTCGAGTATTCGATGAAATTTTTATCAAGGTTTTATTAAAGAAAAAACCAACTACTACACATGGAAATCCATGTAATTGATTTTGTGATAATTCATATATTTATAAATATATACATTTTTAATGTGGCATGTTAATTTTAGACTTGGAAATGGATAGTGTCATTTTTACCTTTACAACTTGCATAAAGCTTTTATCTTGTGAGATAGAATATCTCTCAAGTTCATATCCAACTTGAGGTGTTGTGGATGGATGTAGATGATAGATATTTATCTAATTTAGGGGTTTGAACAAGTCCAAAACAATTCAACCTATTTAATTTGTCAATCCATGGGTCCACTAGTGATGAGTTTAAGTGAGGATATATCTTTTTAAAAGAAAAAAAGCAATAGTGAAAGTTGTGTCAAATGATCACCCCCAATTAGTGGAATCAAACTCAACAATCCTTGTGCCATTATGTACTTACCTACCACAACTACCATAGTGTTTAGTTTACATTCTTTTTTCTTAAGATTTGAATTGTATATGTATGCATCTATACACATGTATGTGTATGAATACATACATACATACATACATACATACATATGTGTATAATACTTGCTCACAAACTTCCAGAAAATTTCTTTAATACTTGCTCAAAAGCACCGAGGTTTCACACCGTCTTCATAAGGTTTTAAACATTAAATGGTTTCAGCATCAATATAGGTTATTATAAGGCGACCCAATGGACCCAACCCCATTTATCCATCGAACGAATGTCGGATGTCGGATTAGTTTTTCCGTCGAACCTTTTTCATCGTTGGTTTGAATCGCTCCATCATCACTGTGCTCCATTCACACCTGTGAGTGTGAAAGGGGACCAAAATCCACACTGAGACGATGGCTCAGTGTGAAAAAGGGCTACCGTTCATGGGGTCTGCGTGTCCACCCAGAAACTCGTTGGCGGCTGGTGTGAACGGTGATATTTGCGTCCTTGCTTTACGCTATTGCCCTCCCCCCCCCTCTGTCGTCACCTTCACACGGTGGCTGTCCGCCATCACCATTGCGATCGCTGCTGTCCTCGCGCTGCTGCGTTTCTGCGCCTCTGCTTGTTAAACAGGATTCGTGCAAATCATTGTGAAATATGTTAGGTTCGCCATTGGACTGCATGGGGAACAGGGGAAGGCACAGGTGTGTTTTCGCAACCGAAGCAGCAAATATGCCTGGTGCTTTGCTTTCCGGCTTCGTTTAAGTGAGAATTTGTACTTTTAGGTGAGACGAGGTGGAATACTACTGTTCGGTTTCAGTCGGGATAGTGGACGTGGTTATTTCCTTTTGTTTGTGACACAAGCGAGCGTTATTCTGTTGTAGTGTTGGAGTTTTCTGAAGGATTGGAGAAGTGCCTTTTGTTATTTGGTTTTGTTTGATGCGGGTGGTTTGGATATATGTTTGATTTTTTTTGTGTGTGGCGATTTATGCTTGAGTAGTTTGTTCAAATCGTGGCGTGTGTTTAGTGTTTGAGATCGTGTTCACGGCCGTCAGTATCGGAATTGGTCTCGCTGGACTTTTTCGATTGTTTTAGTTCTTGTATTTAGTTTCTCCTAGTATCTATTTGTAAAATTTGAGTCGACTTTAAGTCTTGGTTGCATCTGTTTGTAAAATTCTCAACGAAGGTTGGAGGTTCTTTATGCTTTCTCACTTGCGATGTATTTCTAAACAATGCTTCTGACACTGGTTTGACCGTTGTCGAGCTCTTGCAACAAACTAGGTGTCGCAAGATGTGAAAAACCGATGCGAAATCATCGGGGAGTTCAGTTTTCTCTTACATGGTCTTGCAAGCTTTTTTTGATCTCGTATTACTTGTCAATGATAGCAGTTGCTTACAGACTTGAAGTCATTCATCATGGGACCAATCCGATACTGCAGTAACAAGCAGAATTTTTCTTTCAAGAGTTTTTATTTTACTGTTCGCAAGGCCAGGTGCAATGAAACATACATCTCAGTAGTTGAAATTGGTGACCAGATCACTGTAAATTATCCAGTTCACAAATGCAGTCGTAGCGGATCTCATTTTTCATCAATTACGGGAGCTCCGTGAGGAAAGTTGCTCCGGAAGACATGGAGGAGGCAGCATTATGCGGGGTGGCGGTGACAGGGATCATGCTGGGAGTGCCCTTGTATCATAGTATTGGAAATTGTCGCCAAGGGCGCGTGATGTCAGTGCATCTATTTCGCTGGTGGCTTGTTTGTGCTGTCATGATTGCTCTAGGCCTTGTTATGGCCATTCTTTTTGGTTGCTCTATTCTTCTCCTAGCCAACCTTCCACCCCCCAAGCTATCACCGGTCTCCACCAGCTGCAAGATCTTATCTAAAGGTTGTTATTTTATTTTCTTTTATTTTATTTTTTAAAATTAATTTTGTATTTCATCTCTGTTTCCTCACACCTAATCGATGATCAAGATACCAAGTGGTTACGTTTTCTTGCAAGATGGTAAGATGGTTTTCATGATTGTGGCGTCCGGCCTTTTTCATTTCAAGGTGATTCGTGACAATCTTGCATAGACGCAGTCGTAGGTCTTTTCGGAACATTTTAGAACACTCAGCAATAGGAGTGTAAGGACACACTGCTCCTTTTTCAGGGGCAAGAGATCGTACTGAACTGAGTTGGTGAGTGGAACCGAGCGATTAAGGCAGCCGTTTATGAATTTTGGGTTATCCTTATATCTTACATCCTTTAGTCACGCTAGGTCTAGCGTTAACCGTTAAAGCATTTACGGAAGAGGTAACTTCAATTATTTCAGGTGAGGATCTTGAGATTGCTGAGGCAAGAAGGATACCAGGAATGTGTCGTTGAGGCTGTGAAGGCAAGGAGTGTTCAACTAGACAATTCAGAGAGAGATGGCTGCTGAATGTACGATCGTGGAGGTAACTACAAGCTGCTACAGAAAATATATAACACATTACGATGGATGAAACGGCTATGCAAGTTCTTGTTGGTAGTTGAGAGAGTCAATATTAATGAAGATCTCGGTAAAAGCCAACATGATTGCAGGGACAAGGATCTGAAGGTTCTTTTAAATATGACTCGAAGATTTTGGGAAGGCGCTTGCCGAGGTTCTATTGAAAAATGCTGGACCTACGAGTTTGAAGTATTTTATAATTGCTTCTGAGTATCTCTACCCACTTTGCATGGGACTAGCAATTACAGGTTTACACCTAATAACCAATGGGTTCTTGTAATGGATTTTCTGCAGATGTGGATCTCCGATCTGCCAAGATATGTGTGGTTGACAATTACATCATTGTGCCTAGCAGAGGCCGGGATTATGAAGGCCTCTCTAAGTTCCAGTGTTATTTTGACTACTACTGGACCTCGGTGTTTAAGGTGTGACAATGCTTTGGAAATATTCAAGTATCTTCATGTTCAATGTCACTTCCATGAAACCGATTTTATCGTATTTGCTGAGCTTGTACTTTCCGCAATGATGACTTCACGTTTCACTGGAGAATGTCGATTAGATGTAAAGGTTCACCAGCCTCAAAATTAGGTTGCAGTAGTGCATTCGTTCCCAAAGTGCTAAGAGATTTTGACAAAGGGTAATTTGCAGGTAGAATACAGGCCCCATGCTTCATTGGTAGCTGTAGAAACTGCTGCGGAATCCCCAAAGGAATCTTTGCCTCAGGATTGCAGACCAGAATTTGGTGATGTCTGGCGGGCTATAGAAAGATTTCAGGTGAATTTTGCTTCTAATTACACACATGCTCTGTGTATGGCCTAGCTGCTCGATGAGATCCCTCCAATGATTCGTTGTAGAGCTTGAATTGATAATGTATATGTAGCTCTCTCATTATATCAATTGATTATGGACATACTCGTTTTTGCGTAATTCTGATGGCATTACCAGGTGATAGATTCAATGTGATCCTTGTACCCGCCGGGAAGGTGCACATCTAGTGCTGGTTTAGGAGTTGATTTCTACTGAATTGACAACTTTCCTAATGATAAGTGTGTTGTGCTCTTAGATCAATGAGGTCTATCCCTGTGAATACAACCCTGGGAATCTGCTCTCGGTAGAGCTCACAGATAGATTAGTGGGCAACTGCAGCAGCAACGAGCTCTTGAAGCCCAATCTAATTTTTGGCCAGTTTCAGACGCTGTAAGGGCTTTTAATTTTTATTTTTTATCTTGATTCTTTAGATTGCCTAAAATACCTAGACGTTTTGCATTGGAATCCTGGGTTTTGCCGGATCTTCCAAGATCATGCATTTAGGAATGTTTGTACATTGGAGAAACTGAGGTGCTTAACTATTTCATTTGAATTAGTAAAAGATATTTGAACTATTTGAACTACTTTATTTTATTCTCATCTGAGCTTTTTGTTCTTGCAAGCAGGATAGCACACCAAATAATGATGTTTTTAAGTTCTTCCAAGACTGGGATGATGTTTTGGCGAACAGCGTTGTCAGTCGGCCTTGGTTTTTGCTACTCTGTTATTGTCACAGCTTTCACCAAATTAGCTTCCTTTATTCGTTTTAGGGTTTTTGTGGCCGATGAATTATCAGAAGTAGACATCCTTTACTTTGAAGCTCATTTGCAAGCTCTCTTCTTATTTGTTGCTAGCATGTTCAGCTTTTTCTGGCTAGATGCAGATTATGAACAGCACTTGGATAAAGTCATTGAGCATTTCCTTATATCAATGCATAAAGTATTTTTTTAAAACCACGGTAAAGTGTCACTTCTCACGAGGAATACATCAATTCATCTGAACTGCAGGACAGGCGATACTCTTGAGAGCATTAAATCTTTAGATATTCAGAGAAAGTTCTGTCTGATTTAGGGTAGAAAGTTAAAGACCAGAATGTTTATTTCACGTTTCAATTCAATTAATTAATTCATTGTAAAACTTTTAACAGTATCACACAGCCTGAACCCTGAGCCTGATTTGTATGGCACCGTAAACGTTTTCTTGCGATGTATTTTTTTTAAACTTATTGGTTATTCCAACAACCACAATTCTCAATATATATATATATATCAATACTCTTACAATAGAATAATAATCTCCATCAATAGCAATACCCAGAGAGTAGTGTGTATCCGTTGAGGCATTATCTTTCTAGTGCCTAGACTAATTGAATTTTGCACTCATACCACATTTGAGGGATTGCATATTTTGAGCTACAGAAGAGATGACACGGACTTGGTAGAGGCACGAACAAACAGATTGTTCACTAGTCTTCTGAAAGTTAAGCAGCTGTTGGAGAAGATGTGTGCGTGAGAAGAAAAAGGTCGTCAGAATGAGGTCCTGTTTTCATGCGATTCATGTGCGACAGAGCATACTTTCACCAAGTTGTCCTCGGCTACAAGAGCATCTTCATAGAACTACTATATTGATATTAATGAGGCCAACAGTTGAGCTGCAGCTTCAATACGTGTCTCAACAAAACCAGTAGAATGAACCTAAGCAACCATTAAAAAAAATTTACAGTGCGTTTTGATTTAGTTTGCTTAAGTATGAAATTAGCCATTCTGTTCAGAACAAAACACAGGCAAGACCAGAGTGCAGCAAGCCCAGACAGTTTGATGCCGCTTTGTGATAATTTCACGTCAATTGCAACGCAGCTTACGACTAAAGCCATCAAGTATTGTCCATCAGACCTCTCTAATTGCCTGCAACAGACTCGCACCAACTTAGCAGGAACTAGGAATACAGAAAGCAATCGAACGAGAATTATCAAACAGCCGTTGCAGAGTACCATTTTATACTCCGCGCCACCTCCTTGGCACTGTCCTACTGCATAGTAACGAAATGCGTAAAAATGCTTGGACCAGGACTTCAAGTACACTCCCCTCCTTCAACATGATATGATTCACTCCTTGCACACAATGATATTGCTCCATTTCGGCCCCTATCACACCCATGTAAAACGACCTTGTAATAAGGAGATCGCAATCATTCTGAACTAGGGCACATATGAAGAAGTACCACAATTATGAAGGCTGAGGCATAGTTCCTTCCGCACTCCAGTGTGCCTGAAGAAGCCCTCTTGAACAAGCTGTACACAATTTTGACTAAGAATTGTACTGGAAATCTTTGACTGTCCGCGTGAATTTTCCCTATGTTGGATATTTTTGTAAAATAAAAATATTGAACAGAGTGTAATTTTTTAATCTAAGAAGTATCTGCAGTAAACCGGTTACCATTTCTCAGATTTTTCTCTCTGCGACGACGTTAGGAGGGCTCAACTCTTAAATGTCGGCAACATAGAAGCAGAGAATTCCACTATTCTTGAATGTGCGATAAGGATCTGAGGGAACTCTGATAAATTCTGTACTGGTGAACTTGACTGCCGCACAATATCATCATCTAAAAAATTCCGCGTATCATTATTGCCAGGAGGTTGATGCTGAGAACTTCCATCCAGAGTCGGTAAACGCTACATCTTTCCATCGCACAATTTCAGTCAATCCTTTCCTAAAACGTCGCTTGAACGAGTCAGTTCGAAACCACGCTGTTCCATTTCTTTCACAATCTCTTTAGCTTCTGTGATAATATTGTTTGTAATACATCCATGTACTAAGGTGTTGTAGGTTGTTGCATTTGGTCTAAGACCTGCTCTTTCGATCTCTTTCAAGAGAGCAGATGCCATACCAGGCGGCAAGCCATCCTTGCACCGAGCATATGCGATTAAATTGAAAGTTGCGATGTCAGGTTCACAACCTCTTTGCACCATACACTCAAGAATGGGCTGCGCTGCCTGCCATTTCCCTTGATTAGCGTAAGCACCTAAAATTGCATTAAAGACCTGCAAAAAACAAAAGCCCTTTAGTGAGCTTCCACGATAATATCAAGTTGATCTGCCCAATTGAATTAGAAAGAGAAAAAAATCACAATTAACTGCATCATGGTGTACAGCCTACTTTATTTAATCTCACCCGAATGGATGATGTCAACTCTTGCTCAGTTTTTGAAAAAAGATCCTGGGCAATTTCCAATTGGTTTGTCCTGCCTAGAATGCGAAGAACCGTTGCAAGCAAGAGTGGGTTAGGAGTATACAACTTGCGAGAATTCAGCCACTCATAAATTTCTACCGCCCGTTTCCAATCCTGATCTCCTACTCTCTTGACTACAATTAACATTTCATCATTATTTAACTGCTCTGGCCAGCCATCGAGCACATCAGCAACCGGCCTCGATAACTCCAATTTGCGAATCGCAATTGACAACCTCCATGCCTTACTCTTCAGATCAGCCACTTTTCTAAGCGCCAATTTGGGCATACTTTGAATCCTCTTAGATTGTCCTTTCTGCTGCTCGCGACGAGCCTCTCTTTCCCTAGCCCCTTCTTCCCTATGCAGCCTCCGGGCAAGCGCTGTTTGCGACTTGCTATCCACGTATCCATGTCCCTCCCCAGGAATTTCTACTCTCACATCCGAGCTACCCGGTTCCTCCCAGACTGGCACAAGTCCCAACGGTACCCGATTTACACTCTCCAACTCTCTCGCAATCCGCTGTTGATTCAACTCGCCACTCCTATGCGGCCACCTCTCTTCTGGTTTAGCTCGAGAGTACAAAAACGGCTTCACCTCCTTTCTTCCACCTAATCCACATACCTCATCACGAAACACTCGAACATGCACACAGGCACGCCTGCACTGTAAAACTGAGTTTGAAATAGAGATACACGGAATCAAGAAAGGAGACGTACGAGAGACGAAATTTCGGGGAGCGCGGGGTAAAACCAGTTGGGAATTGTGATTGTCAGAGGGAGACAAAGCCATTGAAGACAAGCATGTAGCCAGTACGAGAATCGGCGGGGGCCGTGTCCACCCCTACTCTCCTGAAAATCACTCGCAAATTGAACGCCGCGCTCCGTGCGCAAAGCGGTGCCGTAACGATCAAAGAACGCAACTCTACAAGATCACAGAAACAGCCTGTTCCGTGTGGAACTCCATGCACCGGCTTGCCATGGTGCACGATGCGAGGAGGCCACCTTCGAACAGAATGCACAAGCCTTCGAGCAAGGCTTACGAGTTTTCGACATGGTTGCCGCTGCCGCCGTCGACGTCGACGATGAATTTGATCGTTCATCTTCCGTTCGTTAGTATTAGGATCTATTCACGTGCACGGTGCCTCTTTCCGTGCTTTCCGTGAAATATCTCTGAATTAAACGCACGTCTCCTGGTTTCAGATCTTTTGGGTTCTTCTCTTCCTTTTTCTTTTCTTCCTAATTCTTTCTTCTTTTAATCGTGAATGAGCTCCAAAATGTATTCGTCTTTTGAGAATTTATTCATCTATTCTTATTTTCATATTTTAAAAATTATGGAAATTGTGTAATGCTCCTTATCGAAGTGAAACAGTTGAAAATCACGCAACTGCACATACATGTATAAATATAAATGGATTAAAACATGCACTTAAAAATAGTCTCGTAATTGATAAAAATAAAAATAGTAATAATTTGAGTTTGATTTACAAATTGTAAAATTCAACTATACATCCTCAAGGTACGAATGTTAATAGTGGCTACTTCTACACGTAACAAATTGCAAGCAATTAAAGCAATAAAATTTGCAAAAACAAAGGTCTATAAATAAATACACTTATTAAAAAATATTGTTTATTTCTAAATAAGTTATTTTTTCGCTTCACCTAAATAAAGATAGCACCGAAACAGATACTTATTTGTGGATGTATATAATTATTTAGTCGATGAGAAATAAATGAAATCTTTCTAAAAAAGTATTTGGGTTAAAATAATGTTGAATAGAATTATGTATAAATATATATATATATATATATAGGATGAACTCTCTTGCACCATTATCTACGCGGCCATCACGCTCTCCGACCCTCGACGTGCTGTTGGCTCAGCCTCTCTCTCTATGTGCTTTCCTCTGGCTTTCTTTCTCTTGTGTGCCAACGTGGAGCCCAGTTGGCAGAGAAGCCCAGCCTGAGGAAATGGGAAGCTCCACAATCCAACGCAGCTATCCAGCTTCTCCACGTAGGCAGCCTACGTGGAGAACCAGCTGGCAGGTAAATTGCGTAGCTGCGCTGCTCTCCGCAATGTGGTTGCGACAACTGTTTCCGGTGGCCTTCACCGCCGCTGCCTGCCTACGTGTTCCTCATCCTCCCTGATCATGCCCCCCCCCCCCGGCTTCTGAACCAGTTCGGGTTCCATTGTCTGTTTGTGCAGCTGGGTGGAGTGGCAGCGTCACTTAAGTTGTGCGGGCAAGAGCTATTTGTAGCGACTTTGTGGTTGACGACGTCGTCATCAAACGGAGCAGAAGGACCGAGGTATATGAAAGGGACAGATTCATGAATTCTGGAGCAGGGGTTTGCAGGCGCGTCAAAGGATTTTGAAGGTAGGATATGAATTTGACGTTGATAGAGATATGACCAGGCTCGCTCACTGCCTGCACGGGGAGAATAGAATAGCGGCACTATTAGCCCGTTCTAATGAGCGATATGAGGATCTGTTTATATTAACATATACACAAATTTTGAAAGCCGGGTGTTCGATTGGCAATGCGTGACCAATACACCTGGTCATCTGAGGCAGTATTTCGATTGGTAGAAGTATCTTTTTGGCAATTGTTGGGTTATTCTGTTCGACAGTTTCATCCAAACTACCTTATTTTCGCTCATTCTTGTTTGTTGTCTTCTGCACATCAGTATTTAAGTAGGACTTGATTGTACTCAAAGTAGTTCTTTCATCTGTAGAGAGAGCCTGAGCAGAGATCAAGAATCTGTAGGAATTAGTTTGAGATAGTGAAGATATATAGATATAATGGACAACATGATAGCAAAAAAAAGATTGTTAGAAGCACTGTCAAACTTCAGAGTAAAGGACACAATACAATTTTTTTTTCAAAAGTAAAGATCTATGGGACTTGCTTGATTCAAAAGATAAAGAGTTAGATGAAGGAAAGTCAGTTGTAACCGACAATGCATTGCTAAGAAGAAGCAACACCGTCATGATACCTCCAAAATGTCAGCATCATTTAAGGTGGAGGCTCAAAGCAATTGATATGCATAAACTCACTATATTGCCCATTGTATTACTTTTCATTAGAAATATCAGAGAACCTCCAACTACATGGAAATTTATGGAAGCAAAGTATAACATTCAAATCATTATAGATGCAATGGTGCCACACAATTAGTCAATTAGTAGGTTACATTGCAAATGAAAAATAGCATAGATATTGCATTGTTTATGTAAATAATTCTAAAACTTTTGAACAAGCTTAGAAACAAGTGCTGTCATTAACAACAATATAGCAGTTTATAAAATATCTACTAAGCTATTTTCAATTTTTTTTTTATTGGAATGGCATTGAACAAAGTTTCCATGTGGACATTAGATACAAACAGAGTATAAGTTTATCTTGAGTTATGAAGAGACAATCCTATTGTATTGTAATATGACTATTGAATGAAAGAATAAAAGAATGATTATACTATAAAATAGCTTAATTGAGAATATAGTTGTAAATTACTTGAAAATAAATCCATAAAAGTTAAAAAGGTAGTAATTTTTTTAGTGTAAAAAAGGCTAACTTCTTGGAAAAATATTTAACTTATCAATTACCTACAAAGACTTGAAAAGTTAAATCCATGTCTACAAGGCTTTTAAAAAGCTTCTCCACAAGATATTATCAAATTTACCTATTTCTACTTAATTCCTTTTATCTTGATAGGATTGGTATGTCCGTGACATATATCCGATTGTAGGTGCACAATTTATCATAGCCCTTGCAAATTAGACATTTTATTAAAAGATTCTTTTTTCATATACAAGCATGTTATTATGTTTGGTCAATTTCACTATATTGTAATCTTTTAGTAGATTGAGTGCCTCTTCTAGAATAACCCTACAATTCACATCCTCAATAAATAAAAAAGTGTGTATATATATGTATATATTAAAAATAAATAAATACACATTTTAAAATATGCATAGATACACATACACACACATAGCAAATGCAATGTTGACATTGCAAAAATTGTGAAAAACGGCGACAAGGAAAGCAGTAGGAAATTGGAACCGAAGCTTCCGATTCTGGGTCAACGGAGATTGTCCAAATGTCGTGGTGTCAGTATTCCTTCAGCTTTGCCACCACCAGTGATGTCGGTGTGAACAGCACCAAGGGCAGCCACTGCCCCGGATCTTCAACGATGAAGCCCCCTCGTGCTCTCCAATTCGCAGTTTGCGAAGCAATAAAACTGATGAACATTCAGCCACCCAATTTGCCAAATATCTGCAGGTCATTCCGAGCAAAATAGTTCAGATTTGAGGTCTATTGTGAACGAGACCTAACTGGCTTTCAAAATCGGACTTCGGCATCGGAGCTTGGCTTCTAAGCACACCTGGTGATGTTTTGTTTCCAACCCAGGTTTCTCAGATCTGGCCTTTATTGCCCCAGCCATGGTTGAGTCGAGATCGGAATGTGTTAATTTGCCTGAACAGCCCCCATCACTTCCGGCAAATTCGTCCTTAACGGGCTTCGCTCACAGCTTATGATTCTCCAAAAAATCCATCTTCGAGTTCCCGTCCACACATGTTTCCCACATCTCTGCAGATGTAGCTTAAAACTGGCTACATTCAATGTCGCTGTGATCTCCAGTATGCAAATTTCTACAATTTCAGTCAACACCTACCGGATTCCACTGTGCCTTTGTAAATCAGAACTTTTCCTCCTTGCATGCACTTAATGCTCCTCGACACGCGTCACACGAATTTTAGTCCACATTAAACAGAGGAAAAAAATGCAAAGCATCTTGTTGCAAGACCACATATGGTCAAACGGCAGCCAGAAGTTCCTGCAACTCTTTTTTTGGATGGGTATCAAGGCGGCTCCTTGTTACACAAGACTCATGTTAGTCTCTCTTCGATGTTGAGCAGCAGAATTCCAGGTCAAGTTCCCCTCAATCTCTTCTTATGGACAGCACAGCTTGATTTGCCAAGTCTTAGATACCCGAAGTATACCTCCTCACACGGTGTGGGTGCAAGCCTCCTTGTTTTCTAAAAACTTATCTGCTGCTGATTCTCCCTGAAAATTTACTACCTACAGAATATCCCAATTTTTACAAGTTTCAGGGAAATTTTCCAAAGCCCCTTCACTTCCTTATCCTGTAGCTCCAAAGTAAAAACAGTCGAACCCAAGCCCCACAAAATCGTTGACCTTAATTTAGAACACTAACGACGCAGGTCTTCATGCCATGCCTTGAACTGAATAGTCGTATTGGGAAATTTGGAATAGAAAAACTTATATTTAGGATCTGTTAGACCTAGAAATTGACACACTTCCCTATGAAAGATCTAGATCTTCTGATAAAGTCCCAGACAATCCGCACACTTATAACATAACACAAGGGTGATACATCCACAACAACCAGAGCCACTGCGTATTTTGCTAGCGCCCCCAGGAGAGTACTCACGTAGCTGACTGAAGGAAAAAGGTGATCTCGGAATGAACAACCAATGTCATGCTTGTTCAAGATTACCTCAATCCACCAGATCACTACAAATTTATTACTCTTCTCATCGAAAGCAGTCACATAAATTCAAACGGACCAAAGAAATCAAGCCCTGTGACGGTTCGAGCTGGGGCCTGCCAAGTGTGCTCCGCTTCAAAAAGGACGTCAAGGATCGTTTGCTTCGATGCTTTAAAATTTCAACAATGGATGCAGGTGTTAGAGAAGTTGGGCAGAAAACGGAACAGGAACTGTCGAATGCTGGGTGATAGACAGTAACCTCTAGTCCAATCGCCAAAATCTGCCGTATTGCAAAATACAGCAGATTATAGCTCCACGAAATATGTGAAACATCCTTAAATAATTGCCACACCACACCAGACCAACTTAGCGGTTCTAACTAATTAAAGGACTAGTAATTTGCCTGAACTGTGCACCTCCTTGATTGGTGATGTTCTGACTGAATATCACACAGCTGGATACATCACAATGCTGCGACTAACTGATGATCCCTGTCCAGATTGCTTGGACAACTTAC